CTACAGAGATCTGGCTGAAAAGCATAATTTATTGAAATTTGATTGGGTTACTTGTTGGTCATAGGTGACGTTGCTCATACAGATGTGACGTTTTTCTTCTACCGGTATTGCTTCTTTGATGTATTCGAACGCTTCAGTTGACGCTCGCTAAAACATTTCAAATCCAAAATTTGAAACAAATAATTACGTTATCTTTTGGAAAAAACCTGAAAATCAGTTTTCATGTAATTGCGTTACCGGAACCATTATTATCAGTTAAAATCAGTTTACAAAAACCATTTCTTTTCCGTTTCTGCTTTTCATTAATATGGACTGGACTATTATTCTTTGATGGTCTAACCATTTTGAGTTTTTTTCATGATGGGTAGTCCACACTATGAGAGGTTTGTAACCGTACGAAGCCTTCAGATGGGCATCACAATTTTCGATTTGGAATCTTCGTGAAACACTGAATTGAAAATTGGTGAAAGGAGATTATATACATCATCATACAAATAATACTTTTATTATCAAAATGAGTAGTTCTGGGCACAAGATTCCAGTTATTCCACCGACACCGAATACTGGAGACGTTCCACCGACACCGAATAATGAAGTTCAATGCGAAGATGATAAGGCGTACATGGGAAATGACAACGATGATCATAACGAAATTAAAAAGGTATTGGAGAATAAACCATATGCTTCCAACCAATTTTACAGAGCCGTAGCTAAAGAAGTTACAACAACATTTTCCAGTTTACAGAATCGGGTTTTTATTGTGACAAGAATTGCAAAGGCTGTACAGGCCGATGCTTTGCGGGGGGGAAATGCTGCATCATCATCGAAAAAGAAGCTTTGTTTATCTCTGTTGCCTGAGGTGCACTTTTCTGTTGATCTTTTCTTAGGAAGCACCAATGAGAGTCCCGGTAAAAAGAAACTTTCTCTGTTAAAAAAACAATTGGGTGAATCTTCGCTGAATGATAGGCTGAAATTTCTCGGTCTATCTGATCAATGGAAGAGTTTGTCCAAATGTTTAAGTAAACGTCCCTTTGCCGCAAAAAGTATCTACGACAGCAAAACCAATGGCACAATCACTTGGGAGACGATGGTTAGGTATTTGAATCTTTATCGGAACACACTCATGTGGTATATAAACAATGTTCAATATCCCTTTTCACCTCAAAACACAGAAAAAGGTTCCTTTTGGTACGATCCATCGCAGCAAGATATCAAACGCGATGACCAGGTAAAATTTGTAGACGATATGAGGGAGTTCTTCAACAGACTTATTGGTTGCAACAACATGAATGGTTATTACAGTGCGGGAAAAAATGTTCACAAATTTTTCCAGGGTGAACGTGAAAGGAAGTTATTCCCATGCAAAGTATACACTTCAGAAGTAGATTCAGTGGCTTTTGTTCCTTGTCCACAAAGCGCTAGTAACGCTAACGAGGATGACGAAACAAAGGAACACCGGCAGGAGAATTTATTGAGAAATATTATTCGGTCACTGTGGCAACGATTTCAGGGAGAGAAGGACGTCGGTGTATTCTCTTTGCTGTCTCTCCGTCATTTTTCTACTTCAGAGTTATTGCATGGTGATATGTTTTACACTTACTTCCTACCAGAACTTCGTGCTTGTTCCTTTGTTTCTATCGAACCTGGAAAAGACGAGGAAGGCAACTATGTTGTGAAGGGTAGTAAACACAAAGGAAAAACCAAACCTGTAACCGAACCTAAGGCCGGAGTCAAAGACAAAGGAAAAACCAAAACTGGAACCGAACCTAAGGCCGGAGTCATTGTGTTGGATCTAAATGACATCACTTTTTTCAAGATTGTGCAACACGAAGCCTCACTGCGCAAATCATACTCGGTCAATGTCGACTATGAGGAAAGAAAAATATTTCTGAAGGTAATTGATAGTGGGAAAAAATACTCTTTTGTGATTAACCCCAAGCAAACAATTGACCATTGCTGGAAAAAGGATTTGGTAAGGGTCTGGCTGTACAAGAAAACTTCTACTCACCGTTTTCGTGAATACAAGAGTGAAAAAATACAGCCATTTCTAAAATGTTTGGAAAATAAATCGGTTTTCAAGAACAAAAATGAGGCAGTAAGCATTGACACGGCAATGGATTTGATAGATGAGTGGATTGCCGCAAGTAAACATGGTGAAACTTCTCATGACAGATTGTTCATAGTGTCAACACAAATCAATCAGGATTATATTGATAAGTACGGGGAAGATTTTGGAAAAGATACAACGGTTTTCAATAATTCGTTGGGTAACTGCGATGTCTATTTCAACCGCAACACTAATGTTCATCGTAAAATCGTTGAAGGTGGTGAGAATAACCCCACAGTGAATGTTACTGGAAAGGAAAAGGGGAAAAAGAAGGTTAAAAAGGATGTGGAAATTAATGTGGGAAAGGAGATCGAGAAAATATTGTTTTGGTACTACGGACATCGGAAGTTCAAAGAAATTTTTTTCTTAGGAACAACGATTGAACCTAGCTTTTGAAGGAAACTCTGAATATGGTAGCCAAATTCAATTTTTTGGAAAGTGACGGATTGGTTTTGGCTAACGCATCATGAGATGCCACTCAAATGATTGATCAATGCAAAATTGTCATTGATAACTATGGGGACTTGAAAACGTCGTATACGGCACACATATCTGATGGAAAAGACATCGAACCTCCTGATCTTCGAAAGCACCTCGACCCATTCTGGCGTTGCAATTTAACGTATAAAAATTTGCTAAGTTTGAACCTTTTCAAAAAGTACAAGATGAAAGATTTGTCATCCGAAAATGCCGTGGTGAAATGGTTTGTCTTCAAAAGAACAGTCAGCAATTCAAGTGATCGGCCATTCATCGATGTCTTCGAAAGAGAACGAGTGCAAGAGTCGCAGAATACCAAACAATGTAGATCCGGGCTTGGAAAGGCAGTGCCACAGATGCAGAATACGAAAGAGTGTAGTTCCGGGCCTGGAAAGGCAGTGGAACAGACGCAGAATACGGAAAAGTGTAGGTCTGGGCCTGGAAAGGATGGAGACGTGGGGAAAACCATTTTATCTAGTATTGGAACTTTTTGACACTGCAAGGAGTCAACTTCGGACATTACTATATCGAATGGTCAACCTCTTGTTATAACTAATGTTGAGGTGAAGCTTACAGAGAAATCGGAACTCTTGTATCCACGTTTCAGCGTAGGGGAAAGAGTACGTTGCAGTATGTTCAGATTAGTCAAGGAAGTCAAAAATAGGGCTGTTGTTGTAAATCACCCGGTGACAGATATGGATGTTGATGTTCCTTTTAAGGACATTGTCTGGCCAACTACAGAGAAAGAAAAAATTCAAATAAAACACAAAATTTGTATTGATGTTGGTGATGGAAAAATTGTTGAAGTGCCAAAAAAGGGGATTCCTCCTGGTTACAGAGTTGATATTGGTGAACGCCGTTTTTTTTTGCCTTATTACTGCGTAGGTTCTACCCTTAACGTGAACAATAATGCAAATTCAAAACTGGGGAAGAGAAAATTTGAGTCAGCGGTGTTCACCAACACCCCCCATGCCCCGTTTGCAAATGTCAATAAGAAATCACGGTTGAATGGAAAAGAACAAGTTGGTGCGTTGAAATTGGCATCTGCCGGGCCTACCTCATCTGTCAATAACAATGTCACCAAGACCTTTGATCCTCTCAATAACAATGACAGTTCAGGAACAGAATCGACAAAATCTGGTCGAAAACAACTATTTGATTCATCCGATCTCAGTACGATCGATTGAATTAAATCGCAAACAACTCAACATTCAAATCCTTAATTCATCGAAGTCGACAAAACATTGATACCAGAAAAAGTCACATGCGTCTAAGTCGGCACTTGTTGGACTTACGAAGAGATACCAGAAAATTCCGCAATGTAAGAAAGTCACATCCGTCTAAATGGG